GAGATTCCACTCTTGCTACATTCGCGGCTCCGGCTGCCGCCCACGCTCGGCCGAGTGACGCAGATCCCGGCGTGGGCCGCCGCGGGGCGGGGGCGGTGGCCGCCGGGGCCGGGGCTCGGCCTCTTCCCGCCGCCCCCTCCGCGGAATCCGGAGGACGGCCCATTCACAGGGCAGCTGGGAGGAACCAAGTGGGCGCCCGGGAGGGGGAGGCTTCTGCGAGTCCCGCTCCCAGCAGCGGCGGGGGCGGGAAGGAGGGAAGCGGCGGAGGGAGAGAGGAGACATCGCCTCGGGCCTGCTCTCCAGCTGCGAGGTGAACCGGGATGATTTGCAATTAAAAAAAAAAAAAAAAATTTTTTTTTTTTTTTTTTTTTAACGTGTGAGGTTCCCAATATAGTATTTCAAAGAACACACCCCGCCAAATCCAACATCCCCTGAGAGGCCGACTTAAAAAAATAAAGAGCGCTCCCAATCCACTCATCTACACCGGGCTCGCCCCCGCTGGGTCAGCTCGGAGGTAGGCGAGCCTGTTGTGGCCAGGTACCCCCGCCCAGCGGGTGGAGCAGTTCAGTGGGAAGTTGGCTTCGACCTCCTCTAGGAGGAGGAGCGGCAGGTGTGCTCCCCTGGAAGAAGAGCCCGTGGTTCAAGAATCTCAGCCTCGCCCATCCTGCCCCCCCACCCATCCACCCACCCCCGATTTAGCGTTGGGAGAGTGAGGAAGGAGAAGGACTGCGAATTAACAAATTCTAAAGTCGACTTTGAAAACTGTCTCGCTCTCCGGATAACTTGATTCCAACCTTTTCAACCTTCCTGAAAACCTTATTTTATTGGTTAATATTTTCAATTTCCCTAGTGTGGAAATCCCTTATCACTAGTACATCTCTGGGGTGTGTCAAAATAGAGTTCCCAAATCATGCTGTTTTCAGTTGCCTCGTAAGTATGCCAAGAGAGACCAAAGAATCGATGCTTTTGAATTATGATGTTGGTGAAGAATATTATATGTACCATAGGCTGCCAGAAGAATGAATAAATCTGCCTTGGAAGAAATATGTGCTAACAGAATGCACCTTAGAAATGGAGATGGTGAGACTTTGTCTGGAGAATTTTGGACATGGAATCAAGAGGGACTAATCCTTGGGAAAGGATATTATGCTTGATAGAGACCCCTCTCAAAAGATGGATTCCTACGTGGCTATAACAGTAGCCTCAAACATAGCACAGGATCAGGCAAGGTTTTCTTGTACGTCGGGTCCCTATGAGTTGAACTGATTCCATGCCACCTAACAACAATAAGGCATGTTATAGGATTTTTTGTGTGATTTGCATAAGCTTTTCTAACCAAAGAAAGTATTAAAACACCTCCAAAAATGTACGTAACGAATTGCCAAAATTTTTGGAAATCTGTTTTCTAATCTATTTTTGTTTCTTTGCCCAAATAGAAAAAAGAAAGAAGTCTCCGAATTTTAGCATTGTATTCTTGGAGGATGGGGGGCATTAGTAATAGAAAACGACTGCAAATACAGGTAGAATCACGTTTTAACATACATATAAAAATGCAGTTTTATAGGAGGTCATTCCCACACCCTGGCTGGCCTCCCAGAGTGTGCCTACTTGGCTGATGGGTATACAAGGAATTCTTTGAGATGGAAAATTCTTCATGCCATATCTTTATGTTGCAGCAGTGAATGGATGATGATAACAGTGAAAAGAAAAAGAAAAAAAAAGACAAAGTACTGAACCTTTTTTTCTTCTTTTTTGCAAAAACATGTTATAGGAATGAGTAATGCCACAATGGCACACAGTGTATATAATTAAAGCTAAATCACCTTCTCTGGTGGTAGTGAAAGGTTCTGTCTGGAGGAGCTGAGTTGATATTTCAAATAAATACGCATGATTACTTCCTTGCATTCTTCTTCAACTGATGAAATCATTGCTGCAAAGTTTTTCATAGCCTAATTGTCATGGTTTTTGCACTGTGGACCCTCTTCTGTTAAAGAGAAAGTGAATATTGCGTTGGCGTCATAAAATAAAGACTAGATAGTTTCTTGACTGAGTGGGAAAGGATTTTCAAAAGGCAATGAAATGTGAAAAATTCTGCTCTTTCAGTTCCTCTCTGGAACCATGATGTTTTACCAATGTTGGTTTTGAACAACTAGAGAAAAACTTTTTTCCATAACAGTACAATCAATGATTTGTGAGTTACAAAGTTGTCTTATACCTGCTCACTAGTGAACCTTCCAGTGGAGTGTTTCCAGAGTTAGAGGAAAAGACATCAAATCCTCTTTCCTAGCTTGTATATGTCTGGCCAACACTGAGCATGATTCTGAAAAGAAAATGTGTGAGGGAAGATAGTTTTTCTTCTGACTTGTATCTGGTCGTTTCTGCAATTAAACACAGAAACATTGCCTTATTTGTTTTCAGGGCACATATAGATAGTACAGTCTTCCCACCTTAAGAATGGCATTTTTAGCCCTCTTTGCTTTGCCTTAATCACTCTGTGGTGCTGGAGGAGGTAGTGGGAGGGAAGAAATGATATATTTGTAAGCTTTTAGGTATGTAGTCTTAAATGAATATGACAACACTATAGTCAACATGGTCACTCAAAAGGAAATAGAGGCAATCCATCTACTTGATATATATCCACAAGAAATACGAGCCAGGACATGAGTTGATAGATATTTGCACACCAATGTTCATTGCTGCACTATTCATAATACCAAAACGATTGCAACAACCTACATGTCCGACAATGGAAGACTGGACAAGCAAACTTTGGTACATACACACGACAGAATACAATGAAATGTTGAAACATCGCGATCAATTTGCAAAACACCTCATAACATGAATGAACCTAGAGGACATTATGTTGGATGAAATTAGTCCATCGCTAAGGGACAAATATTGTATGAGACCATTATTATAAAAGCCTAAGTAAAGGTTTCCAGACTAAAAGAAATACTCTTCGATGGTTATCAGAGGTGGGAGGGAGGGTAGAGTAATTCACAGGCTAGAGAGTAGACATGCTAGCTTGGGTGACATGAAGGGCAATATACAAGAATTGGGAGGGCAATTTGCAAGAAGAGAAAGGGTGGCAATATGCAAGAAGATACTTGATGGCACAGGGAGGTATGCATGGGCTAAAAAGGATAGATGTATATAGTGATATATACATACGATCAACGATGATCTGGGCAGAGATACATGGATTGAAACGTGCTGAATGGATAAGGGAGGAAGAGTGAGATTCTTTTTTTTTTTTTTTATCCCATAAATACATGAGTTTAAAAGAGAAAAACAAAACAATTTTTAATGGTTGCCAGGGGTAGGAGGAAAGGGAGAGTAGTTTACTGGTTATATGGGTGTTGTTGTAGTTTAGTACCGTTGAGTTGATTCCAATCCATAGCGACCCTGTATAGGGTTTCCAAGGAGCAGCTGGTGAGCTTCACCCGCAGATCTTGCAGTTCAAACAGTTTTGTAGTCTGGCGCATTAACCCACAGCACCACACCAGGACTCTGGTTACATGGTAGATACATGTTAACTTGGGTGATAGGGAGGGCAACATACAAGAAAAGGGAGGTTGACAGAAAGAAGTATGATACAGACAGGTGACATAGCATATACAAGGACTAGAGGGGATAGAGGCAAATAGCGATGTATAGACAACCTTGGCACAACAGTACTCTGCAGGGTAGATAGATGGGCAGAGACATATGCTGAATGATTATGAAACAAATTTACCATTTACCGTTAGATGGTGTGTCTATGTGTACAATGTGTGTATGCATGTATATGCACATGCTGTTGTTGTTGTCAGGTGCCATCGAGTTGGAACCGACTCATAGCGACCAAATGCACAGCAGAACGAAACAATGTCCAATCCTGGGCCAACCTCACTACCGCTGCCACACTTGACGCCATCAATGATGTCACCTGGCCGATCCATCTCTTTGGGAGTCTTCCTCTTTTTCTCTGACCCTCCATCTTACTCATCATGACATCCTTCTCCAGCGACTGTTCCTTCCTGACACTATGTCCAAAGTATGACAGACTGAGCTTAGCCATCCTGGCCTCCAAGGAGCACTCTGGCTGCACTTCTTCCAAAACAGATCTATTGGTTCTTTTGGCAGTCCATGACACTTTCAGTATTATCCTCCAACACCACAATTCAAAGGCAATGTATATGTATATAGATGTGTATATTTATAAGTATGAATACATTTATTTATATGTTCCACAGATACAAAAGAGTGTGAAAGATGATATTGGTACATGAGTATTAACCTTTCCTGCAAACACCACTGTGAATGTGGTGGAGCATACAGAGGCAAAATGATAAAGACTAGATATTATCAAACATCTGAAGGCAATGAGTAGCTAAGCCTAGGGCTGAGGACCATTGTTTCAGGGGACGTCATGGTCAACTGGTGCAACATAGTCCACAGAGACAATGTTCTACATGTTACGTTGGTGAATAGCATCTGGGATATTAAAAAGCACATGAGTGGCCATCTAACGTGCAGCTACAGTTTCTCCATGTGCAGAAGAAGGAAGAGTGATGAAAATTGAAGATGCTTGGAATCAACTTGTCCAACAGACTAATGGAACATGTGAACATCAGTCTCCACAACCCTAAGATCAGAAGAACTAGGTGGTGCCCAGCTACCA